TGCACATCAAAACATTTTGTAAAGATTCTTAATATAAAATAATGCATAAGTGCATAAAATGTCAAAATCCTCACCTTTTAAATAAGCCAGTAAAGGAAAAAAACACTAATCTTATCAATAATCATCACATTATCCAAATGTAAAAATATCTTATAAACGAAACAAAAAAGAAAAGTTAAGTGAACATCATTCTTGACAGTGGCACAAAACGACACATTAATCATTCTAGCTAGTGGTAACATAAAAGACAAGGAAGAAAATAAAAGTCAGATTACATAGCCAATTGTATCTACTTCTTTCTCTTCTTCTCCTTGTATATACATTTTGGTGTATAAATACACAAAGTGTACTTTAGCATATGGCGTAATGAATGCCAAGTCATAGTACATGATTAAAATCTCTGCCCTGAACGTCAACACCTTGGGTAGAAATATAGAAATTTGAAGAGTAGGAGAAAGAACTCTGAATATGTACTGATGCAATGAAATTTAGCATATTCTTTTAGGAATGTTTTAAAAAATGTTCAACATTAAAACTGTTTGAATATAAGGATAATTTCACGACTATTAATGTGATCTTACGTGCGCTTTACAACGAATTCGCCTAATAACTATAAGTATACATATGGGTGGTACATACTGATTGGTAAACGAATCACTGCCAACGATTCCACATCTTCCGCCTAGATATTGTGATGAAATAGAAGTACTTTGCTAATATCAGCACTTCAAGGTAACTACATGTCACAAGTGCAGAACAGAAATGAATTTACCGAAATGTTATTTAGACAACACTTAATAACTAGACAACTGTTCCAATAGCACCAAAGGTGACCCCAACTTTAATATACCAACCTGACGCAACTTATAAGTAACGTGAGCTGGTCTGTCCTCTCTTCATCGGTACTCAAGCAACTACTCAGACAGAATCTGATAGGGGCTAGAAAACATCATACGGACACTCAACAATTGCCAATTATTGAAATTTGGTTGCAATAAACTATATGATATGACACAAAGTGATACCATCTGAATACTTAGCAGCCAGTTTATCGGTCATTATCACCAAACTTTCGAGTGAAATGTAATATATTTCAACTCGCATCACCATTGCCAGAATTTCATCAGCGATATCCCATAAGTTAAACGATCCTTTAGACTACATGTTGCGTAACAGGTAGACTTTCAATAAAGTGAAACGCGAACAGAAAGTGAACATACTGTGACTCATTAAGTATAACTGGTGACTTCTGGATATACAGACCCACTTTCGTTTATGCTCACGTATTTAAATGATATAAGTATCGAAAATAAATTCACTGGAAAGCTCTATTCACCTTGACTTTGTAACTGAAGCATTAGTTGAAGACCACTTCTACTATCTCTCCTCTATGCTCTAATTCAATGTTACTGACCAAAATAGATACTGAGTTCGCGTAACAATATAGAAAGTGATTCGACTTTAAGGCCTGTGAAAATTGATTAACATCAGGACAGTATTCGTCATGGTCTGACATCTGTTAGAGAATCACTAATAACCTGGGAGGACTGAACAGCTGATTCTTCTCAGTACGGGACTCTTCAGCAGTGCACACCCTAGACTCTGACAGGGATCGAATATAAGACCACCAGGTCTAGTGGTGAGCAAGCTACTGTCCAGCCACTGGAGTCGGTAGCAAACGGTTAACATTTCTGTACTTCTGTTTATTCGCGATATGATATGACCATCATCTAATTCCATCAGGGAGTATTTTTCCTCACCTTTGATTTGGTTGACCCCACAGATAATGGCTGCTGGTAAAAACGTCGGTCAATCCACATCGAAGCACGTTACTAATGAAAACTTTGCATTGATAAAGTGTCTCATACTCTAATACTTGCGGATGCAACTCTATACAGAATTACAATTCTAAGCTATAAACTTTAACGAGTTGCCTTATTGTCGAAGAATAACCATTTGCAGTTTTCTTGAGGCTATGTAACTAATAGGAATGCTTAAGTAAGCATAACAGGTTGAAAACAATTAGTAACCATAATCCGATTGATAATAATAACACCAAATTGCAAAGGAGTGAAAGAGTACGTATATCACATTGAAAAATAAGACCACAATGAAGAAGACGAATATGTTCAAGGAAAACATGAATTAATTAACCATTGTCGCAATTTGCATATTAATAGAATTATTTAGAGTGCGTCAAACCAGACCGTATTTAGTAATAGAAACGAGAAAATACCGCTAACTATATATTCACCAACTGTTATCAATAGTAGCTAGCCACCAAAAAAACTCATTACAAATGTTTAGTTACATTTCGTAACATTTCGAGTTGAAATTTAATTCCATAAAATTAATAGACAACAATTTAAGACTGTCGAAATAATTCAAAAACGGTTATCCACGCTGAAGTTTACAATATCAGAATATCATAGAAAGGTGATTTATATTTAGTGTAAAGGACAACAATAAATATTACACCCAACTTGCTACTTAAATGCCACACATATAGTTTTCGTCAATATTATGACTAATTCTACACACAAAAAAGGAAGATTCCTAGCGGTATGTAAAAGAAGAACAAAATTGACGAAAGTGAGACTCAAATTTTGACTACTCGTCTAAAGATCGAATAACTTTGGACATGAAAACTATACTACTTATAAAAAACAAATAGTTTGTAGTAAACTTGTGAAAACTAACAAACAGTTGTACTGTCACAAATCGATGCCATAACCGATAATCTTGGCTGAAAGAAATAGGGCAATTTTTCAAGATATATCACTCCTAAGTTCTAAGTGGAATCAATAAAGTCTTAGTCACAACTGCACTTAATACAGTGCTAACTGTCAGAAAAATAAGCTCACCACATCAGTGATCAAGTGGAAGTGAGTCGAGAGAAAGCAATCATACCTTGAAGATATATATTAGCAACATAACCAATTACCTTACTAGTAACAGAATGTTGGTCACTTCATAGTTTACTGAACGTGAACATCCTACGCGAAAGAGAAGGATGTAAAAAAGGCAAATCTGCGTATTTAAGCTATCCCAATGAAATGTCTGGACTATCTTCTGACTTTGCTCTAACGACATAACTTAGGTAGTTTTTCACAAATTTGTTTAGATTCTTTAGGATGAGACAAGACTGAATGTAGAATAAACTACATAGCGATAAAAATTCAATGGAAGGAATAGAAGGATAGAGGTATTATTTATATATAAAATCAGAAGACGTTGAATTTACATTAGAATCTTTTCATCGCTACAGATCATTCAATTTATAAACGGTATTCGAAATAATACTCATATACGTAAAACACTTCCACAAAACAGAAAATCATAATGAAATTTAAACTGAATGATAGATAGTTAAATGACTACCCTGAACGCAAGGAATTTGCTGAACATATACATTCACCAACGCCTGACACTAAATTTATTCCTTAACCTCACAGGGTGTTCAACTGAGTCGACTGCCAAATTTCATCGCATTATTTTTAACTGGAATGAATTTTTAGCAAGTACTCATCCCCTCAAAGGTAGCATATCTGAATACTTTCAGTTGCATTAAAGCCTCCAGTGAAATGTCTACTTCCAGTGGTGTCACTCAAGGATCTGAACTCTAGAAATCTTTATCAGCACTTCCCTTAGAAATGCTGACAGACCCCTCCCTCACCTTACCCGGCTTAATAAAGATTGTCCTTCTCAGAAAAGACTAGACTATTGACTCAGAGCACATTATTGATGAAAAGTTTTTACACAGGTATATACTTCGGGTCACGTCAAAAGAAAATCTGAGAATTTTCGGGGTGCGTTTTTCAACACACGAAGGCACACTGTCACTTCTGAACCGGTCTAGATTGATACCTCATCTGAAAGCAGAGAACGAAGCGATTGAACGCTTTGACTATTTCACTGACTTGAGGGATCCAATTAGTCCTTATGGATCAGAGGCCAACAAATTCTCAGCGAGGGCACAAAGATTCGATTGCCATTCACCAAAGTATGCCACCAATAGCAGTGGTGGGATATCCGATTGGCTACTACGAGTTGAGTGTACTGCACGCAGCTTTCTCTACACTACTGCATAGTCGTGAATCAGGGTCATTAAAGGCAAACGATATGAAAAGGCTTCAGGTGTTCAGCTGCCATTGCTTTTGTGGCGAAACCTCGTCATAGACCCACTATGTTAGTAAAACAGGAGTCAAGTGTAGAGTTTGAGATAGTAGAGGAACGTCCCTTAATGACGTTACAAAACTTGGTCGACTCACGTAGTTGTGACACAGGTTGCGCACACCCGATTACCACCTACTCAGTCGTATAATGTTAGCTGAATTAGTTTCAAACGAGAAAAGGCTAGAGATGATCACTTTAAAACATAGGATCAGCTAATTAATTCTGTGAACATCGATCTGAGCTGTGTTCATGATCCTGAAGACGATGAGTACCAATGGTTGAATGGACTTGAAGATAAGTCTGAGAACCGTTTGCAACAGTGAATAAGCATTCCCAACTTACTTCAATCTTAGCCGTAATATCAAATTTAATTACTGGCTTTTTACTATCTCTTCTTTTCATCATTCGACTTTGGAAGACTTTTTAACATTTAATTGCTTTTCTTTGTTTTTGACACTGTTGCATTATATGTTTATTTGATTCTTCATTTTAAGTGCCAAGTTCTCCAACAGACTGCTTGACTAAACTATTTCATCAACACTGAAATTTGAAACACCAGGTAAAACATATAACTATGTTTTCCTTGTACTACTTATATTGTGTATTAAGTAGTAGAGTATGTGTTTACAAATTTTTCAAACCATATATCCTAATGCACATTCGCACGTGAAAGTTTAGGATTTATACTTTTGAAAAGTCGAAAGTAAATCAGAAAAAACAAGATATTTCAGAGTTGGCTGGCCAAGGAATACTCTGTAGTTAAAAAATCAAAGGAAATATGAAACACAATGCACTTCTATAATAACTTGTAATATGTAACATACCAGAATCAAGATCGCGTGCATTAATTTTCCCGACGAGACTTCCTAAAGGTGCATCTTCTGGAATAGCGCTGATTTCAATGTTATCAAATACTGGAGGATTATCGTTCACATCCAAGACAACCAATCTTAAATTAAATGAACAACTAAAGCCGTCAGGATCTGAAGCATCGATTATGATTTCGTGTTCTTGACTTAATTCGAAATCCAGTGAAGCATTCAAAGTAACAATACCTTTGTGGCTATCAACGGAGAAAATATTTGACTTTTGAAATTTACTAGTATATGTAATGAGTGAATTACGAGGATCTACATCAGAATCTGTTGCATTCAGTGTTGTTAGAATTGCGTCCAGTTTTAAATCTTCACGAACAGTAATAACTCGATTAGGCTTGATAAAAATACAGAAAAAGAGATCAGATATTCTAAAGTACCACTTGAAAAGACTTGGAATTTATTCAGTAAGATACTGAATATCCATTAAACATCAAAGTTACATAGTTTTCGGTATTTTCCAAAAGTAAGATTTACTATTTGATCTGTTTGTAGCAAAACTACATGATAAATTAAATTATCGAATAGCATTTATCACGATGAACTAGATAACGATAAACAAATTGAAGGTATTCGGTTGTCAAAAAGCGGATTCCCTTCATTGTCAAAGAATACGACTCACAATCATTCAATAATATATAATGCAAAAATGACTTCATTTTCAGAAGATAAGTATACTGATAACTAACTGAAGAGTGTGAGTTGCACAGTGAGACACTAATAAACGGGAATTCGTACAGAACTACAGCAGGAGACACTAATATCCACTTTAACCCTTTAAATGTGCACACATATTCGGTGTATTATAAGACTCGTAATAATAACCAAGGATATTAACGAATAAAAATGCTTAGTGTTTTTGTTTCGTAGATTAGTTCCTCGCTAGATAAATTACGGATGTTGAAAATGCCAAAAAATATTTCCATTACTCTGGAATGCTCATAATAGTAGACCAGATGGCAAGCCATGCCTGAACGCTATCCTCTTTTTCATTACTTTCAAAGTTGAAAAGTTGTGAGATTTTCTGAGGTCAATTAATAAATAGATCATAAACAACCAGGCCATAGTTGTCACGAAGGTCCTGAAAGAAGTTGAGTGCCGAGTCAGGTTTATTCGTTATATAAGTAAAATTCAATATAATCCCAGCGTGTTTAGAAAACTAAAAACAAGGTTCTTTCTGAACGTTTCGCTGTGTATGCCACAGCTTCTTCAGTTATTGTTCATGAATAAATATGCTTTTCATATTTTTATACAATAAACAACGAATGATATACATTCTCCATAACATTTAACAACGTATATACACACTTTGACTATTGAATTGTTTTTGATGACAAATGACGAAAACTGCATGAATTTACGATTTGTTACAAACAATCAATCTGAGCAACAAATCAGCTAATCAAGGCGTAAAGACAGAAATTACTACATGTACCGTTTGGCAGAATATATACTGATATTGAATAAAAATCAGAATACTCTGATGAAGAAGCCATGGCATACACAGAAAGACATTCAGAAAATTCTTTTTTTGGTTTTCTAAACACGCTGAGATTATATTAAAGCTCATTTATATTATCAATAAGTCTAACGCGAAAATTATTCTAAATAATGAAAAAAAATTTTAATTTCACGAAATATAGAACATACTTGTAGGCAAAGTGGTACGTTATCATTCATATCCTTAACTATTACACGTAGTACGAATTGATCCTGAGTAACGAATAATCCATCTGATGCTTGAAATCGAAGCACATAAACAGGTGATAATTCTTTATCCAGTTTCCGACGAAGATATAATGCACCAGAAGGATGAACATAGAAATAAAAACTATTCTCATGAGAGGTATATGGTGAGGCGATGGATGGAAGTTCATTGATAAGAGAAAAACGAGGCTGTGATTTTGCTTCCTTATCAGGATCCATAATAGCTAACTGATAAATAATTTCTTCTTCTTTTGATGGCCACCAGTTTTCTAAAATTTCGATCTCATCCGACAAAATTTGACGCTTCCTCAAGTCCATAGATAAAATAGATTCAAATGAATCATTGCCTACAGGTGATAATGGCCATAAAGGTGGATTATCATTTATATCGCGAACGATAATATGCACTCGACTAGTATTCCAATGTCCAACAACATCAGTAGCCATAACCTAAGACCCAAGAAATAATACACAAACAATCATTATACTACTTACGAAATACTTCAGTAGCTAAAACGTAAATTAGTAAATAACAGTTTGCATTAGAAAAAGTAGCATGGTGTTCACCTCATAAAATGATCGTTCTAAAGGAAAAATGATGAGAGATTAATATTTGCCTGAACTAAAAACAAAACTTGAACATGTTTCATGTGATCTGAAAAACGGCTTACTATCTTATTCCAAGGTTATATATATATATATATATATATATATATATATATATATATATATATATATATATATATATATATATATATATTGAAAGCAGTAATCATTAAAGAATACGTGTATACATGCAGTACTTTGGAATGCACCTAATCACCAGTTACAAATATTTTATGTTCAACACCACAAAGGTATTAAAATGATACTTATGTAGGAAATACCAACAGATCATTGACGATAGCAGGCTTATCTATAATATTTTTCAGCAGGCATGCTGTTGAACCTGTAGAAAGAAACGATGATGTGAACTGCAAATGAAGAGTGTTCAACACTCATGAGTGGAAACAAATGGAAAGACAGCTATCCAGGGTACTTCATCCTGGAAAAATGTTTAAAAGATTCGGTCGAAAAATATAGATATTGTTATACTGAAATAGCCAATTTCATATTTACAATATGTGTCTCTGATATCAGCTGGATTTGCATACAATTCCAGTATTATTTTTTTTTGAGAAGTTAATGCACAACATACCCAAAATACGTGTTCTCGACCAGATTCGAAATCCAATGGAGTATTTAGTGAGATCCAACCTTGCGCATCTATTTTAAACTGGTTACGTAAAGCTTGCAGCTCGTGATTAAATAAAGTTAACTTTTCCAAACGAGCACGTTGATCCTTCAAACTTCCACGTAAACTGAAGTGTTCAGAGGCTAGAGTAGATATTGGCCAAAGAGAATAAGTAATTATATCTTGTTTATCAATAGTACCCATGATATCGTCATTACGGTTATCATGATGACCGCTACCGCTACAGCCAAGACAGATGTCATCATCCATAGCAAGAGTTCGAAGAAACTTAACATTCAGTGGATAATCCTCTGGTATATCAACTCGATACCTAGAAAAGAAGACAAAGAGATGAAAGATGAAATTCGAAGAGGGAGCTATTAATTCCTTGACAATTAGTGAACATCATGTCTATTAAAAATAACCAGCGAGATTTTTGTCAAAGTTAACAAAATTAATAGTTTGAATACTTAGACCACACTAAGATGAAACAGAAATAATAATTTGTTTTCAGTTATACATTTAGTGAAGAAGTAACAATTCGTTTTTTCACTTTTGTTTTGATGAAAATAGCATTAAGAATTATGGGTTTTGATCTAGATTAAAACAGTTAAACTTGAAAGCTAAGAACTACAAATATACTACTGGTCAGCATAGATATAAATATTTTAGAAGTTCCCAAATATATAAATGGTTAGATAGCGTGTTGACGAAAAAATGAACTACAGAGAGAAAGTGAGTCATCTCCATAAAGTTCTAACCGAGAGATTATCTTAAAGGGACCTGCATAACATAGATTGTATTAGGAACGAATGGCTTGTTGCTAAGTATTGCGTATATTTGTTTAATCTAGCCGCAACAAAATAAAATCTGAATTTCAGTGCATCATAAATTTGATCTTAATCAAATATACCCCAAAGATGTAATTCCACAGTAATCCGGTAAAAACCAAAAAGTAAAAATATAAGAGGGATGAAAAGAGAACAAGTATGTAGCAGAAACTGGAGCTTAATAATTTTACTTGGGAAAAATATAATAATCCCGCGTAAGAAACGAGGTTTGACATCTGATACAAAAATTGAAAAACAGACAGTTGTTCTCACATAGCTTTTTCAAAAGTCAAACAGAATTTATAATCCTTTAAAAATAAATACTGATGAATCACCATCACTACTATTATTACTTCACTGAAAAATAAAGCAGTTCAAGGAATTACTCAAAGAAATGATTATTATTTGTCCCTTGGGTTCCCAGTGGAATACAGGGCTTCAGTAGCACATCTCCATTTCACTTTCTTCTCTACAGTCTTTCAACCTGGCTCCACAACTGTCTACAAACGTTCATTTCTTCCTCACATGATCTCCATGTCACCCTCGGATGCCCAACTCGTCTTACGACCGGTCGAATAAATAAATAAATATTTTGATATAATTTATTTTCTATCATATCATATGGGTTTTAAAAGCTAGCCAACGTTCTGAAATGACAAGAACAAACTCATGTACTGTCAAACTGATGCTACTCATCCTGAGGAAAGCAGGGTAAAAAAAGGTTTACCTCGAAAACAGAACACTTCTCCTTAGCATGTGGAATTACAGTGCCGCCAGTATGCGGTTGGCTTATGTGATGGTAGCGCAATCAAATCTAAATTCAACAATCTTAAAAAAGTGGTTTGAGACCAGCTTCAGTCAGATGTCCCATGGGCTCTGCTATAAAGTAACTCTATTATTAATTCATTTCCTACTTCAGGTATCTTGAAGAAATAACTTGCAGGTTATGGGAAGTTGAAAATTACCGACCCACTACATGTTTCCCACACCATACAAACCGAAATAACTATAAGCTACCTACTTAACTTTTGTGTCTTCTCTCGTCCTTACTTTCTGATACCAACATTCGTTCACTCAAAGTTTCTGCAACTCCTCGTGTAAAAGTCATTAACCAAAGGTTCAAATCAAGAGAAAGTCATTTGTAGTCTTCTAGATCCGCGCTACCAATATCACGTTGGATCTTTAGACATCCAAACCCTATGCTGAATCCAGATAATGGGCCTCACTTGCCAAAACTCTGAAATTTCGAATCGAAGATGGACGCTGTGTTCCTGAGAAACGTATACAGGACCCAAGTGTGGTCATTCACTTGACCTCATTTAGCCAATGTGGCTAATCTGAGGAATTCACCTTACCAGTGTCTGGATATTCACTGGCCAGTTGTTTTGAACTCCTTGGTCTATTTATAGCATTAGGTGGGAGAGCAAAAGGTGCATTTCTCCAGCGAACGCCAGTCCCCAGCACCATCCAACCGATAAGATCTGTAAAAACACTCGTAGAATTCCTTATCTACGAACGAACCGACTATAGTTCGGATAATACAAAAAATGAGCTCACTCAAAAGCTGTCAATTTTGCCACAGAAAGCAAAACGTTCGCGAAATACCAGTCGGTGATGGTTTAAGCACTGTTCAGCTAAGTGGATGTGCAAAAATAAAAACGACTACAACATACGTCCAACGTCCAGTCGTGCTTCACACCTACACCATTTTTTGCATGTCGAACGACGTGAAGAATGATTTCTATAAAAGCTATCAATTTGGCTACATAAAAAACGTAAATCTCCGTCGCTGATTGGACTGAATCAGTCGGCCACTATTGACATATGAGCTCTTGTGCAGATACATCGATATTGCCGGTATATTCAGTTTAACGACTAATGATGGGTAGTGGCTGGCAGTATAATCCAGAAAGCGTGTTACATCCTATTTGACACTCGTCAGGTGGATCTACCTGCATACCGATGAGTAACAATGTTCCCACCAAGACCCAAATCCAGGACCAACCACCTAAAACACCAGTGTTATCCACTTGGTCACTGAGCCACTACTAGGCACTATCCTTAATTAATATCAAAAGGGAAAATACCTGTGATATTGAGGTATCTCGGATAGCAGCCCATGCCATTACTAGCCGATCAATTAATCCCAGTCAACGATGGAGATCTACATGCTATATGGTCGAAACTATACTATACTCGTTACACGAATGGCTGTCGTGACTCCGTGGCCTAGTAAATAATGCTTTGGGGTTTAAATGGACTGGTCCTGGATCCGAGTCCTAGTGAGAACAATATCATTAACTGGGAAGCAGAGACATCGAGCTGACGAGTCCTAAAGGAGACGAAACCCACATCTTAGAGTCTACTGCTGGTTACTATCCATCATTAATAAGTGCACCTTGAAAAAATCTATGGCATCCCATGCCGGGGAACCGACAAAAGCGGCCATCACCTACAGTTTCGTCCTGGTAATCACTTGTCTCTAGACAGCACTAACTTCAAGTATAAGGAGAGGTATTGTCTGACCTGCCACTTATTAACTTAAAGCCAACAGTGAACAGAGATAGATCACATCGCTAGCAGACATCGTTGCAGGGGATCAGTAAAGGATTCCAGCTCCTTCTGGGATTCCCGTCACGCATAAACATGGGTACGTGTATGCTTGCACCTTACTTGATGAAGCCTGTAGCCAACTGGAAGACAAGAACGGGTTACCTAAGTGTTCATCTCAACATGACAGCAGTTCTTTTGTGATGAAGCCTGGCCTAATATTCAGTATACTGTAGAAACTGCGGTAGAGACAGTTGGCAACTTGCATCCAAAGGTTAGCAAAACCCAGTGGATTTCCACAATCACAAATGAACTGACTGGCGTAGGAAGACTCATCCCAGCTGGGTCTGAAAAGGTTGAAGAGCGCAAGAGGCTTATGAGATTACAGGTTTTTTTATCACAGGTGTCTTCAGAGCATTGTTCATATATGGTGACACCACCGTGTGAATAATGTAGAGGTTAAGCCGACAGTACTTGGCGATTAAGACAAGTTAGTCAAAGAACTTGTGAACCATCACCAACTAAGATGGCTTGGACATGTGTTTCACATACCAAGGGGCAACTCACCTCAACGTATAGTGCAAAACGTAATAGGAATGGGGTAGAGAAAGATAAAAGGTAGTCAGATCAGGATGTGGCACCAGTCGATGAAGTCTTTGACTACTTGGTTTAAGCTGTGTAGGTTGCCTGACTAAGGTCCTCAAAATAGAAGGAATCCATGATTGTAGACTATTGATGATATAACTCTACATCGGTAACACTTTGTCATCTTTAAAGTCAAGGTATGCGAAATGTAGCTTGAATATAACTTACTCATGAAGCATAAATTTCAAAACATTCCACTCAGAACTATGGCACAACAGTCGCATAGAAGGAGCGTAAATCAGTTTAAGCGATACACTGAAAAAAATGAACTTCATACTCAATTTTAACATGGTTCACACACGTAACACATCATTAAGCGAATAGTAATCACACGAAAATGATTATATCATATCACTGAATGAATGAATAACTATAACTCTGGGCGCACAACAAATAGATGGTGTGTAACATATTTTCTGATATATTTTCAAATAAATTTTTATGAAGTTTCTACACGCATCGACATAAAACTATCCACAACCAATTTTGAGGGAGTTGTTGGGATTTGGAAATATTTCAAGTTGTTACTCATCGTAGACTGACATCAGTTGGAGGAACAAAGAAACAAAGGTCGCAGGTTCGATCCCTGGTGGTGCGGGGTCGTAGGTGCACACTGTTGAGGAGTCCTGTACTAGGACAAAACAGCTGTCCAGTGCTCCCAGGTTTCCTTTGTTCCTCCAACTGATGTCAGTCTACGATGAATAACAACCAATTTTGTCCTGTTAATAACGAAGGCCAATAAGAACAGGACTAACTGGCTATAAGAAATGTTAAGTAACAAAGCAAAAAAGGTGTAGATTAAGAAGAAAAGGTTTAGCAACTAGTATTTTAAAAAGCAGTATGTTGTCACTAAAAATCATCAGTTCACAATTGGTTACACTTTTTCATACCAATAGGGTTTACTGTCTACTCCCATCAGGTTACAGACACAGGCAAAAAAGACAGACGAGTGACTTCATTTTCATCTAATAATAACCAAAGGGTCAAAGGTCAAGGTTATAGTTTCAATCTATACAAAAACTTTGTGTGAACCAAGGTAACATGTCATTGTGACAGTGAATTTCTTGGAGGTCATCTGTTATCCTAATTGTAACAGTTGTCGAAATGAAACTAGCTTTTGAGATGAATGGAGATTTTTAATTTAGAAGTAGTATTCATCATGGACTGACATCAGATTTTCAATGGTTCCCCAACTGATGTCAGTCCATGATGAATACTACTTCGAAACTAGCTTTCTTGATATGGTCCACACAAAAATGCTAGACCTGAATTCAAAACATCAATGACGGCAAATAAAGGATATGTTCATGTTTCACAGTAGAAATAAATAAACAAACCAATTCCCTTGGCTTTTAAAAGTTGTCTATAATGTAAAAAGGAGCTGGATGCATTTATCTGATAGGTTACCATAAGTTTCGCATAAAAATAATAAAATCGTGTTATAAATAAATTCAGCACTTCTCTGTCAGAAGTACAATTTCTAGTTAACACAATATACCTTCCAAGTTGTTATTCATCGTAGACTGACATCAGTTGGAGGAACAAAGGAAACCTAGGAGCACTGGACAGCTGTTTCATCCTAGTATGGGACTCCTCAGCAGTGCGCACCCACGACCCCGCCAGGGATCGAACCAACGACCTTCAGGTTCCGCAGCCAGCGCGTCACCATTGAGCCACTGGGTCCGAATCCAATGTTCCATATTTCCAACTTCTGTTGGCATATGAATTTCAGCTGAAGATTTATGCAATGCAGATTCAAAAACACTACTTTCAATCAGAAAAGCAACTTACAGAGACGAATCGAAATACGGTGAACAGTCGTTCACATCGATTAATTCAATTTTCACATCTGTACGTATAATAATGGCAACATTATACATTACTGTATGCAGCTCGACAATCAATTCATATGCAGACTGAATTTCATAATTCAAAGGTTTGGATGAATATAATCGACCAGTTTGAGATTCTATTCTAAATAACGTTTGTTGATGTTGTTCAATATTGTTCAAATCGCTAATAGAACGAGTATTCGATAGTAATGGTGGTGGTAATACACTGGTCAAACGCCATAATCGACTTAAGTTAGCAGGTCTAACATCACATACACCCACTTGACGATCGGCTAAAATGTCATCCTATTAGAAATAAAAAGAAAACTTCAACTGTCAAATTACAATATTTTTATATAAAGTAGATTTGCAAAAGTTATTAAACGAGACTGTTGCCTGTGAGGTTGACCAAGTCAGTACTAAGAAAGAATGTCCATCAGAGAAACATCATAATGATCGTACTAAGCATATGAGTAGACTGGTTAAAAACTCAGAGTAGCCAGATTAGAAGATGAAAACAGTTTGTGATTATATGTTAGTATTCATTGCAGAATGACATCATTTGGAGAGCTATGGAAAACATAGGACCACAAAACACCTGTTTCGTCCTAGTATGGAACTCCTCAGACAAGGACTCTAGCAAGACGTTTCTTCATTTTTATGACATCAAGATTTTTTCTCACACAACACATATCATGATCTGGTTTCTCCAAGTTTTTTTACCCAGTAAGATAGTTTTGGTGCAGATCGATAAACGATTCTCAGCCCTATATATAAATTTTATGTTGAAAAAACTTCACCATGAAATATAATTAATAGAAGATGAAAGTGAAGATTATTTGTCACTTAGTATAGGAATAGTAATTCAAAGTAAGCATTAAAGATTACGTTTAGGAGTGGGAAATATTTCGTTCACAATAACAGAAGCTGAAGAATATAGTTCCCTAAGGAGCTATAGTTCATTGGTTTGAGGAGTTGACTTTCAATTAGTTAGTTACGGGTTTCGAGTCCCGTTCCACCTACCGAGCTTTACGCAGCCGGATAATATGATTAGTCTTCGCGTAACAGGCGTGGTTCATTGTCTACTACTGACAGTGCACGAGGTTAATAGGCTCATTTCTTTCTTTACAGTTTCTTAATCATAAGGTTATTAGTTGAATGTACGCCAACGGCATGATTTTACCCGACCACTAAAAAAGACTGAAGAGACCATAAGTTTCACTTATCTGTAACTTTTTGTCCTTACAATAAATGAACTTATATAGTGTTCAAAATAAGTGCTAAACACACCACATCTTCGCAGCTTGAAGATGAACATCTGTTACGCAACAACCTGCCTACATAATTTAAAAAGCACCTAAGCGTACCAAAATGGAAACATTTTTTATAATAATAATAATAATAATCGCTTCATTCCAAACGATACGCATGATACAGCATGGGATTCTCAGCATGTGATTTTTAGACAAAGTCACTGCCAGAACAATATTTTCAGATGAAATGGTTATTGCATCTGAATGACGTTAATGATAAAAGTATTCAAGACAATAATATGAAATAACCAGCTGGTTTTGGATTAGCGTCCAGTTCATAATGAAGAATCAACAGAAAGGCGATGGTGGCGGTTCATTCAGCCAGTACAAGAATCTGCAACTCAAACTAAGCACCCGAGGGATAGAAATATGACGTACTGTTGCGTACTGAAAATTTAACTTATATGTAACGTGAAATTTTTTTCTCTATTTTGTTATTAACTCGAGAAACGCCGAGTTGAAAACATTTTTAAAATCTGCAAGGGTATATGGTACGTTCAAAAGATATATTTAAATGATTAAAACAAATTGAAGGGGAAAAATTTAATTTATATATGTTCGGTGGAAATTTCGGCAGCCCAAGATTCAAGCAGGCCGACGTTAGGATGTTATGTCCTATTCTTGAAAACTATAATCTTGAATGTATGGTCACAGTTTCATTCTTATTCCGAATAAAATGATAAAGAACTTTTAAAAATAACTACTTACAAGGAATCATAGTACATCAGTAGTGTGATAGGACATACATACTTGGATATATAATTCAGAAAATCTGCTTTCAACATTCTACTTGTCTCATCATTTTCTAAGTATTTACACGATATACTTGGCTACTTAAGTAGATACTATGCGGTACAACTCCCTCCCCCTCCGGTGTCGTACTTTTGCTATGCCTGATTTTTTGGCATTTGTCAGTTCTTTTTAAATTCCAGACAAAAGTCCATTCGCTGTGGAAAAATTAAAGTTTGCCCAAGATAAGCAGTATTTTTGGTATGCATATCCTTTAAAAAGGATTTATTTTCTTTTTATGATTATGACGCAACATACAACTCTCAGTTATGCAACATAACTCGGGAATACCTTCATGTACTACATACATGAATGTATTTTGTGAAAATTTACTATACTACGTTGCAAACTGAATAAAATGCTTGATGTAAAAATGTAAAACAAACAGTGCAATGCATATACATAACGAACTAAGAAATTACCTCTAGCAAAGGTCTAGATTTACATGCGATCTCCGGTAAAACTATAGACGATTGGTTAGAATATCGTATATGAATTTTCACTGGACTGGAGCACAATACAACAGAATCAGCATAGACTGGGGAATCACAAGCCTCTACCAATAACTGTTCTTCACTGTCCTGAACTATAGATGGCGATAAGGCTGCATTAAGGATAAGTGTACCAGTAGTTGAATCAATTGAAAATCTTTTTGATACTTCACTCCGACGTATCATAGGATTAGGTGGATAAAATATTCGATAGACGAGGTGAGCATTCTCCTCTGCATCTGCATCATATGCTTTCAACTGTAAAGGCAAAGTCACTGGAAAACTTCTCTCCATTGATGAACTATACATGGAAGGCAATAAGGTAAGCTAGAGCATATTTTTTGTGTCGAGGGAAAAAAGAAGTGTAATTAGTGAATATATAGGAAATAAGTTTAATTTAATTATTTTAATTGAAACAAGAATCCCGTCACATTTCTTAAGAAAACAAAGTTCAGAATACAACAATAGAAATTATTTCTATACACAGACATACTGTGACAATCCTTTTAACTGAAAACAAAAGGGAGATAAAATTACGTTGAATTAGTTCAAGCTGAAGTTAGAAATTAAGAGAATTAAGTTAAAACTCAGAATAAAATTATTGGGTATCAGATAAAAAGTTTTAACATACGAAAAGTTATCATGATTTAGACCGAAAAAAATTAATTTCCAAATCCACTTCAGAGCAGTAATAATTGTTCAATGTACACTGAAAATAAAACGTCGCCAATACATAAAATAAAAGTATCTAGAAAAGAGTTTGTATGTAGCACGACAAAAGAACAATATCTACTGCTCATCTTAGTGATTTTAAAACAATATTGGAATGTAGGAGAAACTAATCAGTAATTATAATAGCTGTAGTAATAATCTTGTAACATGCAAGACAAAAATGAAAGATACGAGGCGGCTATTCATATCTAAATAGACTAAATGGGTTCGAACTCATGACATTATGTCCAGAAATCAGTTTATATTCATCATCAGAGATAAACAGAACGACGAATAGCTTAGTACAAAAGTAATTTGCTCCAAACAACCCAGACTCGAAGTAGCATAGAAAATGAGAAGGCTTAAGTACAGACAACGTTCATGTAAAGAAGTAATGAAAAATGATGTGTAAAAGTTCTAAGACGATAAAATAGTGATGAAATTTTACAGAAATTTACAACAGCCCGACCCGATACCTTTTTTATCCAATAGGCTATAAGCCACATCTAGTGTGTATGATATTACCGAGTCAACTAGCCTTCAGTGTGTAGCGTGGAATTTGAACTTAAGGTCCGAATGAGAATTGCTTAAGCCAAACCTTCAGTAAATCAGCAATACTTTAAGGTATTGTGATCGACCTTCAACTACTACTTGAGACCATTAACTCTTGATTTTTAGAATCATATATAATGAAACCAGGCCATCTTCATTTCTATACTCCATACTCAGTGACAAATAAAATTGTTGGAACCAGTGGTCGCCAACAACTCATGTCAGTCCATGGTGGAAACTATTTTGGAACCAAACAATCTAGACGAACCACCAATCGAATTACTCGCAGTGCTGACTAATGGCATGCTTCGAAATAGCAACAAATTACTTAAACAGATTCTGAAGGTCATCCTGATAACCACTAGAATAATCACTTATATAGTCTCCTCATAAAATATAGTTATTTCAGTGTTTGTTGGAGTGGTCTTCAGAGTCACTTCCTCGTACTAGGTGGTCTAATAACTTGGTTTAACTACCATCAAACTCAGCCACCAATAAAGTGCATCCTTTACGGCTGAAAATAAATAAACCTGTGTCACTAATACATTCATCAAGGCATATCCTTGTACCATTGAGGAATTTATTGTTTTTACCTAAACAGTTTTAAATACCTATATTGACTCACTTAATCTTATGGCCATGCACTGAGAAGGCCGACTGAGGACATCACGCGTCAGGCCCTCGAGTGGAATCCCCATGGGAAGCGACGAGTTGGACGTCCAAGGGTGACATGGAGGAGGTCGTGCGAGGAAGAAATGAGAGCTGCTGGGCTGTCGTGGGACCAGGTTCAAAAGATCTCAGAGAACAGGATGAAATGGAGACGTGCTACTGAAGCCCTATGTTCCACTAGGAGCCCAAGGGACTAATAATAATAATAAAATAATCTTATGGAGGCAACGGTAATAGGATGCCAATTACTACATATTGTTTACTTTCATCCCAAAATCACAGTGTACTGATACATGGAACATGTGAGGCAGTGAGTTTGGCCTTTTGGCATCACAAATAGCATCAACTGGTAAATTTTAACCGAATTTCCTTTATATCTCTGTCAATACCAGTACCGTTTGGTTGCGTAATAACTAGTGATAGCAAAGAACTTAAAAGTTAGTTTTGACTATTCCTATATAGTGTAGTTAGACAGAAAAACCATGGTGCGCAGCTTGTACACACATTTTTGTTACCAATCATATATTTTGAAGCACATTCTACTACAAACTAAAAGATAAAAGAACAATGCAGAAAAAACACACACGAATTGATTTCGAATAGTGAACATTAGATTTGGAAAGGGAAAAAGTAATCTCGAAATTATTTAACCTTGTACTATATATTTTCTATGTCAACAAATGGAAATATACAGGCACAACTTACACATTTAATATAATGAAAAAAATACTGTAGGATGCTGAAATTAGGAGTTTGCATGAGTCATTTTTCTTTTCTTTCTTTTTATCGAAAAGAGAAATTCACTTTGCTCAGCGTGATAAAATGGTAAATTAGATAAAGCATTATGTTAATTGCAATACAGAAACAATCAGTTTATATCACGAATACTGATGTACATTGAAATTCAGGATTTAACACACTTTTTTATTCAATTTTTGATGAACATAACATGTATTATAAGCAACTGAAATACTACATTGTAAACTAAGAGGAGTTGAAGAATACAAAACACTAAACTAATCCACTAGAGGGTTTAATTCAATTGTTTTTGCACATTCCTTGATTTAAAAACTATTCCTGTCTCTAAGCTGGTAATTATAATGAAAGCATAACTTGATCATATGAGTCAGAGGATAAAAACCGCTTTAATTCTCGTTCCATAGTCACTACTTGATAACTTAGGCTCGAATAGACAAGTCATGGTTCGGTCTTCATGAAGTATGTAAGTGGCTTACTACATTCAAAGATGAGAATATATCAGAGAATAATAACTTCAACTAGCAATAAACACATATTTAAATACATAGGAACCAAGAATAGTCCTAGTGACTAAATGGATAACTTATCGATGATAAATACATTGCACAAGTACCAAGTTACTTTATGAGATCCCAGGTTCACGGGTATCAGAACAAAAATCATTTCGAAATAACGGAAAAGATGTGTAGCTCAGGATGAGGATGGTTGTAGTTCAGTGTTTTTTTAGCTATGATAATTTGTAGGATTTATTTATGAAGTTAGTACTGGAAATGTAACCAAAGCCTGGTGACAAGATATCAAAACTCAGAGAATATTAAAGCACCACAGGCTCATTGTATACACGAAATACGAAATAAATATAGAGACAATGACAAGATTTTTGCAGAAACAACCAATCACACACAAGGTCATCTGGACAAGCTACTAAGCCACTTGTAGAGAACACCTAACAGCACACTTCTTCCTGAAGTTTGTGCTAATGATTTTGTCTAAAATGACAATAAAAGCTTCATAATTAAACTGTTCAGCTCAGAGAAAGCAGCATCATCAAAATAACTTAAGAATCCTTGTGCGTAGGTAAAATCCGAAGAATATTCCTCTAAAATGATTGACTGGTGAAGTGTGAGTGTAGCCAGGGCTACCTGTTTATACTACCTAACCCTCAAAAACATCATTCCTATTTAGCTCCTACAGACACAAACAAAGATGCATAATTACTAACGTGAATCAAAATGGCAACGTAAGGAAAGTAAGAAAAACTAACTTCATAGTTGACTTGGGTAAATACTGGTCGATTATCATTGATATCTTTAACTGAAATATCCAACTTCATATAATCCATTAGATCACCACCGTCTTTTGCACGAATCAACAGACTGTACTGACTCTTCGTCTCTCTGTCTAGCGGTTGAGCTAAGCGGATAGTACCTATAAGGAATAAAAAAATAAAAATTTCAAGGCTAAACAGTAATATATTACTTGCTTTTCGTTATCATGAGTGATAAGACGAGAGTAGAGACCATAAACAATTGTAACTATAAGCCTATTCACGATCAGTATTTACAAAATAGTGATTGTCAGCATGAATTAACTATAATGGAATAAATAATTAAATAAATAGCTAATAGGCACGTATGTTACTGCAAACCTTCAGATATTCTGCAAAAATGTGTGTCACTGCAGGAAACTGGTTATTTTATCACAGACAAAAACAATATAAGCGTTTATTATTGTTCCTATCTTTCGGATAATTCTATGCCCACGGGGCACGATCCAATCACACACACACACGTGCAACTACAAAACAATACAGGAATAGAAAGGAGTGCATGCACAAAAGACTGTGAAACAAAGAGCTCCGACTCCCCTGAAAAAAGAATAAAATAGTAAGGGGACACTAAGCTGAATGGATAATAATACCACAAGATAATTCATAGTTTGGGAATAAATGTGTCGTTCACTACTATTTTCAATTAAAATCCTAATTATTGGTCAGAAAGAAAGGAAATTACAATCACAAGTAAATATTTGAGTTCACCATTTAATACCGAAATTCATCGCACCAAGGTGTTTTCAAAATAATTGTCATAAATGTCAGCGTAGTTGACAACTAAGTTATTGGTAACTATAATTTACTTTAAAGATATGTAGTAGCTAGCAGTGGAATCAATGATGCGCATTTCATCTTATTCGGGACTCGTCGGCTGGATGTACCTGCTTCCCAGTGAGTGATGTTCCAACTGGGACTTCGAACTTCAGACCGATCATTTCAAACGCCAGAGCGTCGTCCACTAGATCGCCGAGCCATGGTAGTTACTTCTTGTGTGAAGGGTATAGTTTTAGTATTATTGCTTGTATTATACCGTCATTGATCACTGACCATTGACCATGCGATCAAGATAGTAAAGAGAAGAGTATGCTAATAAGAAAAACCTTCTTGCAAATAAATAGGTCACTGAGAAATCTTTTCATTATCATGGCGATCATTAGATATAGTAATAAAAAATGTCTAGACGAAAGGAAACACAAGAAAGGTAAATAAAAAAGCTGTGGTTAATGTGACAAAAGTGAAGTTGCTACTTATGGATTTCTATAAATAACGAAACAGCATTGTAAATGCATATCGAGTTTCACTGATTAATAATATCACGATTAATTGACATCAGTTAAAGTTAAGATGTTTTGCACCAAATGATATGCGGTGTAGAACAAGGGAGATGAGAAGAAAAGGAAGAAACAAAAAGAATAAAAATGAAGAGAAAATTCATAAATCTTACCATCATTAGCATCTATGCTAAACCATTCCTGTCCATAACCGCCAACTATGTCATAGGCTATTCGTCCATAATTACCACGATCCATATCTTTAGCTGGTTGAATACGATTGACAATTGAACCAACAGTTGTTAGCTCTGATATTTCCCACCATTCATATTTCGGTAGATCAAATCTAGGCGAATCCCAATTGCTTGGCTCAAGATTAACTATGACATCACATGTACTCGAGTGTAATCCATCGGTAACTTCAACCTAATAATAGAAAGAAAACATAATCATAACAGATGCAGTCCGTGAGTTGATGAGGAAAACAGTGTGAGGAGTTATAATTAGTGAGACAAATTTTGAAGGTTATCAATCAATAAGAATCTTTGTAAGCTAGCAATAGTGTCAGTTAACACCACAACCGTATGAAAGTAACTGATTTCTTCACAAATAATTATTTAACAAGGATTAACAAAACAATGAATTAAAATGAGCCATTCGAAAAAGCAGAAACAACAAAACCTAATCTGTATCCGAAATTAAGTTGACAATAAATATTCGCATTTCATTAAAAGACGAGGGTTTTTCAAGACAGGAAAACAACAAGAAAGTATCGATCAATTCCTGAATAGACTATCACTACCACTTTATATCTATGTAATCTGCCTTGGCTGAAGAAACATAAACATGTGCACATACATACACACATCTACAAAAAAACTGATAGTAACTCCATTATGTTAAAAAGGAAGAAGATAAAGTATAAAGCTATGGTACAAAAGTTGTTAGACCTTTTAATTAGTAGACAACAGAGCGGAAAAGAAGACAAAATACTAGAAGAAAATTAAAAACAGTTGAAACAACAACTCTGTCATGCGAAAGTGGAAATCAAGGTCATCCTTCGGGTCAAAACAATCGAAAAAAAGAGGAAATATGTATAGGAATCAATTCTGAATAGACATGGGAAAAACAGACACGAGAAAAAGTATAAACTTTAAGTAAATAAAAGAAGGAACTTAATGAAGAACGTATACGAACCCCTATAAGTGATTCATTAGATAAATGACTCAAATCCAAATCCTAAAAATAAGGTTTATTTTCATTTGTAGGTAGACTCCTTGAAAATATTAACAGTAAAGAAAGAGAATATGTAAGAAATAAGGCTCTTGTGCCCCGATGGCCAAATGGATAACGCTTCTAGGTTCGAGGTGATGGGTAATGAGTTCCAGTCTCAGTGGGAACACCATCACTCATAGAGGTGCAAGTACATCCAAATGATGAGTCCTAAATACGATGAAGTGCGCATTTTGAATTTCACCGCTAGTCATCAAACAGATTACAACGCAGCTTCTGACCTCCATTTGTTGAGTCCTGATAGAGGCCTATGACCCATATCGGAATGTGACCAATAAAAGGTACTCAAGACAATGTTGGATCGCAACAATATTTCAGATGATGAAGTTAGTCTTTCAGTATCCACAAGGCACTTGGAATTCCTATCTAATGGTCACAGTTCCTACACCCCCAAACAAATACAAGATCCAAGTGAAGGAAACAAAAAAGCAATGAAATGTGAGTGATATAGAGTAAAGGTAGCAGTTGTCGGTCAGGTTTGCTGATGAGAGCTAACAAGAACGAAATCTAGATTCAGTGTTTCGTACCAAGTAACTTTTAAGGCTCAACATCGAAACCGAATGTCCTAAAGATCTTCTAAATAGATGTGTATAGTAACAAAAATCCAAGCACAAAGATTTTTATAACAGTTGAAAATCAATCTAAACTAACTGATTAAACCAGTGGTTACCGATTGTGTCTACAAATAGTACATCAACCCACACCGTATTGTCTAATCGTCGGTATTTACTAATTTTCTGGTGTAAAAAAACGTTATGAAACTGCAGAGTGAATTTCACTAAATTTGATGACCAGTGGTTTGAAGTAGTCAACAGAAGACCTTAAACTTGCATTCAACTTTTATTGGCACTCTTAAGTGGTAATATGTAAGTAAAACTCCAACGGTAATGATACATAATCAAACCGCTGGGATGGAAACTCAAAAATTAGATTCAAGGCGATATGCTTTTACATATCTTCAACTAAATATTGAAATATTTCAAGAGATTTGATTTTATTGAAAGGTTTGATGTTTTATTCAGCTTCTCTCATAACAATAAAATCCATATTGAAAGAAACAATAGTGTATAACAAGACTAACCACATTATATCATGAAATTTAACGTACATCCATCTGTTTTTACTCAACTTGACATTACACTATTGTTACTTCAAAAGTTTCAAATTCATCGAAACATAAAGCTCTAGGCTATACCTTCCCTCTTTGCTGTTAAATTACTTCTACACATTTTGAAGTACCAAAAAAACTTAGAATATTATATTTTACTAAAAAATTCTGAGTTGTTATTCATCGTAGACTGACATCAGTTGGAGGAACAAAGGAAACCTGGGAGCACTGGACAGCTGTTCCGTCCTAATATGGGACTCCTCAGCCGTGCGCACCCACGACCCCGCCAGGGATCGAACCAACGACCTTCAGGTTCCGCAGCCAGCGCGTCACCATTGAGCCACTGGGTCAGAATCCAATGCTCCATATTTCCAACTTCTGTTAGCTTACGATATATAGCGCAACCGTGAGCAATCGTGAGCTAACAGAAGTTGGAAATATGGAGCATTGGATTCTGACCCAGTGGCTCAATGGTAACACGCTGGCCGCGGAACCTGAAGGTCGCGGGTTCGATCCCTGCTGGTGGGGTCGTGGGTGCGCACTGCTGAGGAGTCCCATACTAGGACGAAACAGCTGTCCAGTGCTCCCAGGTTTCCTTTGTTCCTCCAACTGATGTCAGTCTACGATGAATAACAACTTGAAATAATTCTAAATCTCCACAACTCCCTCAAAATTTAAAAAATGACTGTTAAGCTTTTGAATGTCAATGACATGATAATGTATATTTTATCATTTGTCCATTTCAGACATTGATTGTATGTAGTAAACAACAAAATGGGCAATTTCGCAGTAAGTCTTGAAGATTTTCAGACAAATATCTAACCTAAATCAATGATAGTGGTTATGAGACGTAGTACAACTCAGATAAGTTGACTATTTAAGAAGAGTTAGTCTAAGAGTGTTCATATAAGAAAGTAGTGTTCATTGAACCAGGTTGCATCATGAAATATAACTGTGATAACCGGAATAAGAACTGATAATTGGAAAGTCAAATGACAATGCTGAATAATGACTTCGGTAAAGCAGATACATTTAATTAGCATTCTGGAAATTTACACTACAGACCACATAACCTTCCTAGATCAACTAAGAACTTCAATGATATCCTTTTACTGTATGATAGTAAACAAACTGAGTATAGCACAACTAAGCTGTTGACAATCAATGTACACCATTACAACAAAAATTATTTTTAAATATTGGTTAAATCATGTGTACACTTTCACTGCCAACCTGAATCCTTGTAAGGAATCAAAAAGAAGAGTACCTGGACAGTTATGTGTTGCTGAGCCTGTGGGAAACGAGATCAATTCTTCGTAAATCAAAAGTTGAAGCGATTTGTGTCAACCTGATGTATCTTCGAAAAAATTGTTATGTTTCTACTGCTAGTAAAGAGCAAACACATAATGATTCAAGTAAAAGAACATTTGTCTTGCACTCATGAAACCTGGAGGCTTAAACCTAAGGATGTTCTGCAACTCTGTATTGGACTACAGTTGTCTCCATATTCTTATCACATTCGATTGTAACATTGTGGTGCATAGATTTCAGGTCAGGTGATTTGCACTTTGAATTGTTAGCTCCCTTATGTGTCTGAAATACATAGTAAGATTAGCTTTAGGATTAGAGGAAAACAGTAAAGAATTCCACCTGGTTTTATCCTCAGTTGAACTGTACACATTAACATTATTATCAGTTTATATTATCTCCTTCCCTCTTAATCCTCATGTCATTATCCTTTTACTCCATGTGATGCATTTCATGATTCCCTTCTGTTCTAGATGCCTTTCTGCATCTCAAGCAAACAGAAATTCTTCAGGAATACTGCCATGTTTAAAATCTATTCAGTTACACACAAATTGTGACCTCAGTACACAAAATCCATGTTGAGTTACACAAGCATCAACTGAAATGATTTCAATGGCAGATAACTTGCAATATAATATAAATGTTTGTCGTTCACTTAGTAACTTAGAGTGTTAAAAAAACAATTTGTCTTACTTTGATTTTTAATTGATCTACAGAATTTGATGAATCAAGACTCGATGATACGCTATCCAAAGTTTCAATTACTTCATTTAAACTTGTGGTAATGATGGGTTTTCCAAAGACATTCACCAAAGGAATCCAACGCAGTACACCATCATATCGCCCAAGATGAAAATAGGATGTCTCATTCTGATGCAGTGAAATAATACTATACGACAAAGAATCATTAATATCAGGATCTGAAGCCGATAATTGCAGAATAACTGTACCGATCGGAGAACGTTCATTTAGTTGAGCATAGTAAACACATTTTGACCGACCATTTTCACTAGTATCACCATCACCATCCTCACCATGAATATAGTCAGTAAAAGAAGAATTTGGAACTGATCTGGGCCATGATGAATCGAAGTATGGTGGATTGTCATTGAAGTCCAAAATTTGAATCTAACATAATCAAAGATGATAACGGTAAACTTGAAAGCTGCTAATACGTAAAATACAACAACAAAGTGCGAATAAAATTATACCGAATAGCGCTACTTTCACTAGGCGGTTTCACAGAGTATTTTAATGTAGACAGCTTTAAGAAATACTCGTAAGAATTCGCCGTAAATAGGTGGTATCAGTCAAGTTTCGATATGACAGAGCGTCAGAGACATAAATAATAACCTCAACCCCCTACGAGCATCCCAGTAGGTAGAAGATGCTCAAAAGGCTGTGTGTGACAGGTCTCAAGAAGATGACCAAAGGGCTCTATGGTCACGTAATTCTTTTCCTTTTTCTCCTCCAGATGCCCTAAAGAAACAACTTCCATGGTGTAAGTAACCTTGAAGCGTCAACCACCCCCAGACTTCCAGTGGTACACAAAATCCAATCACACGTAACTTATGCTCCTTATCTGCATCTCCTTCCATTGGCGTCACCTCCTGATACAAAGAAAATGCCTCTTGCAACTTCTTCAACCCATCACTCTGCCACCATTTTCGACAATCAAAGCCACCAAAACCCCATTTTTAGTCTCCTAAGACCTAGCTCCTCAATGATTCTATGTTGGAGCCTTCAACGTTCGAACTGTATGTCAAAAAGCGCAGCAAGCATCCCCCGCCACCATTCTGGAATCTTGAACCATGGATATTTCGTTTGTCACTGAGATACGTATATGGGATCAGAGTGTGGCCACTTAATTGACCTCCCCTGACCATTTCACTGAATCCTCAAAATTCACCTTGCGATTATCGAAAGATCCAGTTGCAAGCTCTTGCGGACCCGTTGGTGTAAGCATACCACTGCGTTGCAGAGAAGAAAGTGCACTCCTCAACTAGACAACAGCAGTTTATGTGCTGTCCGACTGAATGGATCCGTAAGAATTAAGATAAGTGGTGGCGACTAGTGATCTCTTCTAACGCCCCCACCGACTACAATTCAGATGATGACAAGGATGAATTCTATGAGAAGCTGTCAATTTCGCTACAGAAAGCAAAACGTCCAGATAGTCATAATGGCAGGTAACTTTAACGCTCAAGTATGGAAACTGAGATGAAGAGGCAACCTGAAGGCATTTGCGGAATCCCTTGTGAACGAACCAACAACGGTGATCATCTGTTACAATTTTGCTTTGACAACCACTTTTTTCTGGCTAGTACTAACTTTAAACATTAGAAGGGGCACTATGTCACTTGGCGTCAGTCGATTAAAAACTGACGATGGACATATGTAAATGACATCGCTACAAACCAAAATTGTAGAGCATAGTCGGAGGATTACAGCTCGTTCTAGTTTACCAGTTTGGACTCCGATCACGCGTTAGTACGAGCTCAAATATGCCTACACCAAACTGATCGCAGGGAACAGGAGACCGTGAAACCTATTTCTGCAACGTAATTCAGAGCCCGCTCTTCGAACTCACGTACCCCAGTAAGAGTTAACAGAGAGCTGTCATCCTAAGCGACAACAGCCAGTGGTATCCGTTCTCGATACATGTTATCATAGCTCTAGTTTATATTCTTTCAAGACATACTAATGGAAATTACACTCATAAGTGGAAGGCATCCTGTTGACTTGGAGTACGCAAACAACACTACCCTGTTACGCGAAAACGATGCCAAAATACGAAGTCATGTGAACGTATTAGGCAAAAATCTGAGTACATTTGGCATGCGTTTCGTTAACGTCAAACGGAAAATGATGCTTCATGACTGGTCTACAACTACTCACAGTTCAACGATAGGGAGTGAAGTGACAGAATGCATCGACCACTTCACTTACGTGCGAAGCTGCAATAACCACAACCGACCAGCTGCTGACGAAGTTGCAGCTGGGACACAAAAGGCTCACTCGGCACTCGCCAAATTGCCTCATCTCTGACACTAACCAGGGAGAAACCCAACTACGTGTCAAAGGAAGACTGAATAGCATTGTACTTCACTCTATCTTATTATACCACTGACATGGCTGTTGAAAGCAGAATATGGTAACAGACTACAGGTTGTTGACCACAAGTGTATTTGTAGCATTGTTCATTCATGTATGGTGGAACCACCACCACGTGAGACACATTGAAGGTAGGCGAAGGGTACCACGCAAGATAGGCAAGTCGGTCGATGAGGTTGTCGAACTTGAGTCACTGAGGTGGCTTGGACACGTGGTGCGCAAGTCGAGTCACCGTCTACCTCGACGTAGAATGCTAGGGGAAGTTGGATTTAGTTGGTAGAAGGCTCAGAGTGGCTACACCAGGATGTGATGCCAATTAATGAAGTCTCTCAGTACTAGTCTGAACCGTGTATGCAGATGTGGTCTACTTAGTTGAGGTCATCAAGACCTTAGGAGTCAGTAGTTGGAGACCGTTGGCAACACGGGTGAGAATCGATCACAATAACGCAGATGTATTCACTCTTTGACATCATCGAAGGCTTGAATATTTCCACTGATCTTGATTTCTAATTTCTCGTCCTCCCATACACCTCCCATACACGTTGATATTGGTCTTTTTCTATCCACTTGTTCTTTGCATGCTATTATGATCTGTGGCAACTTAATCTGATCCGCTGTTGTATGAGATGCTATTTTAAATTTTTTTCCTGTCTATCTACCTGAAGACGTTCAGACATTAAAGCGGTTCGAACTTTGACGGTTCAGGGACTAGACGATCACCTGTGCACGATGCTAACACAAAAGGATAATTTTAAGAAAATAATCGAAGTCATAAATCCATATTTAAAAAACACAAATGCGAATACTTTTATCAGAATACGAGAAAATAAAATTACTGAAAGAACCCTTTATTCAGATGATAAAGGAAATCTTGTCACCACCGTCCATGAGCAAAAGCTCAGAAAAAGATTGAAATGTTTCACTACATATGGGTACATATGGGTATACACTTATGAATGATAATGATGAAGTGACACAGAAAAACATATTAACAATTGGATTACAACAATTACTACTTACATGAAGTGGAACACGTGCGTCTAATGGGTCGGAAGACTGATCAGATGCTATAGCCCAAAACAAATATTCACGTACAGTTTCAAAATCCAGCTGCTTAGCAACGAATATATCACCTGTCTGAGGATCACATTCAAAATGGGAATGAGGACTAGAATCAGGATGTAGGCTGTATAACTCTAAACTGTATCTGATCTATAGAGCGAAAACATTGTAATAAAAAGAACATGGTTAGTTTGATAACAAGGGTAAAAAGCATGAGTGAGATTTATTATGAAAGCTGATTAATTGAATGAAGGTAAGGAAATTATAATTAGGAAGATTTGATGCACTGTGATTTATTCAAGACTATTTTAATGAAATGATTCAATTGATTGCGTCAAAATAAACAGGGTTATAACCGGTAAACTGAGCCAAGAAAGACTCCTAATTAGGACAGTATTAGCGAAGACTACTCTTAAGGGTAAGATTAAATATTTTGAACATGCGAATTAGAAAAAATCAGTATTATCACTACGCTTCTCTGTTTGATCAAAACAACATTTACACCAGGACGAATCAAGTTATTTACTTTACAATTTAATCAAGTATGAACTTTACAACGGTTGCGTTCATTTATCGCAATCACTACAAACTTCATCAATCCACATTGGAAATGCAATCAGTCTGCAGTTGAAAAAAAATATTTGGTAGCTTAGTTGGTAAGAAAATTTTGTTCAACTTAAAATTCCAGTCACTAAAGGTGGAGTCAAGTGAAATTAAGATCTGGCACAGAATCAGGTCGGTAAACTTGAGGTCGCTGAATAGAATCTCGGGGTGGCCCAGACTTCCATTTCATCTTCAATCATCACTTAAGATCAATACAAGTCTCATAAACCATAGCTATCTCAAACAGTCAGATTGAGAACTTAGACCTATCTAGTAAGATGAATAGGAAAATATAAACAATGACATTCAGAACATATTTAGATTAGAGTAGGTCTTATAAACTCACTACTTTCTAAAACCAGTGTCATTTTCTTTCCATTTCTATTCTGTGATGAGATAACCAACGAAGAAGCACAAAGTGAACATTAACAAGCGAAGAAACCTTCGAATAATTACCAAGGTCCCTTCACACTTCATTTGCTTTGGAGTGATTTCTAAAGAAATAGTTACCAGTTCATCTGTATAATCCAAAGACAGTGAATATCATACTAGTGAAGCAAACATATCTCGCAATTAAGACTCACTGCATTGATGATAAGAGGGAAACGAATAGTCAAAAGAGATAAAACAACTAGTCGTGGAATATATATATGTAACCTAAATACAGTTACATCTATGTAAGAAAGACAGGTTAAATCAAGATAACGGTAATCACGATGAAGATCATAATATCTGAATACTAAATATAAAATGAGCCCTAATAGAATGCATGGAAGATAGAGTGGGAGAAAAAGAACACTATACCATATACCTTATCTTAATCCATCACAGATTATTTCACGTATTATCAAAGTACGAATATTAGTAATCTGTTAATGAATTGTGAAGTAAAATTATCTTACTATGGTTATCTTTTCTCATTCCATTGTGCATCTGTTTATAATAGACCTATATATGCAGTTCAATGAAAACTAACATGCTCCAAACGGACATCAATATGAAAGACAACAAAGAAGCATGAAGTTGTTGACATCAAATAAATTTAAAAATTCTTAAACCAGACTGTCAGCAACAAAATATAACTATTCAAAGGAGAAGAAACTGCAAAAAATTTATGTCAAGCCAAACCAAAAATACACATACTTAAGAATGAATTCCAACTTTGTATTGATCATGGACTGAAATCAGTCAACGATACATTGAAAACCTGAGAGTAATAAATAGATGTTTCGTCCTAGTGAAAGACTCTTCAACAGTGCGCACCTGTGACCTCGTTAGGGATGGAACCCAGGACCTTCAGGTTGCGCAGCGACCATCTTGTCATTTGGCCACTGGGCTGCAATTCCTAAAATTCCCAAGTGTGATCTAACGACTGGATGACAAGGATGCAACGTTTACATAGAAGAATCCAGATTCGTTAACGAAGTTTTAAAATTCCAAAAATCGGATATTAGAAATTCTATTTCTACTATTTATAAACTAAATGTTTACGAAAAAAGAACAGTCGCAAGATAAACTACCTGGAGTACAAGACAGTTTCGGATTTGCAGATGATGCCAATGAGTGATGACGACTGACTTCTCTTTTAATGATATAACTTTTAGCCGGCAATTTAAGTTAGTGACAAAGACTGGCGATGCCACTAACCCATTACTACTATGACAGAAAGCCTTCTATGACATTTCTTTCTTGGTTTAAATATCAGTTTTCGAAATCGGTAGAAAAACCTTTCATTCATAACACGAAATACTCATAAAATTTTCATATTAAATGTGAAGAATTAAAAAAAGCACTTTTTTTCAGGTTGGAGGGGAAAAAAGAACCCAATGTATTCAACCAGTGTATGAATGAGAAAGTAAACATTAATATAAGTTTCTCAGTACACCATCTATCCTAAGCGAGATAACTGATTAACTTAATATACTACGTGCACGAGAAGCAAGTTCACCTTTCCGAGTGCTCTATTCTACTGAATACAGTGCAGATACAATACGTGGTACAAAGAAAAAAAACATAAAATCAAAGTGAAACCTCACACACAAGTGGATCAGATCACGTTGCCACAGATCATAATAGCATGCAAAGAACAAGTGGATAGAAAAAGACTAATATCAACGTAGAAAGGTGTATGGGAGGACGAGAAATTAGAAAATAAGATCAGTGGAAATATTCAAGCCTTCGATGGTGTCAAAGAGTGAATACATCTGCGTTATTGTGATCGATTCTCACCCGTGTTGCCAACGGTCTCCAACTACTGACTCCTAAGGTCTTGATGACCTCAACTAAGTAGACCACATCTGCATACACGGTTCAGACTAGTACTGAGAGACTTCACTAATTGGCATCACATCCTGGTGTAGCCACTCTGAGCCTTCTACCAACTAAATCCAACTTCCCCTAGCATTCTACGTCGAGGTAGACAGTGACTCGACTTGCGCACCACGTGTCCAAGCCACCTCAGTGACTCAAGTTCGACAACCTCATCGACCGACTTGCCTATCTTGCGTGGTACCCTTCGCCTACCTTCAATGTGTCTCACGTGGTGATTCCACCATACATGAATGAACAATGCTACAAATACACTTGTGGTCAACAACCTGTAGTCTGTTACCATATTCTGCTTTCAACAGCCATGTCAGTGGTATAATAAGATAGAGTGAAGTACAATGCTATTCAGTCTTCCTTTGACACGTAGTTGGGTTTCTCCCTGGTTAGTGTCAGAGATGAGGCAATTTGGCGAGTGCCGAGTGAGCCTTTTGTGTCCCAGCTGCACTTCGTCAGCAGCTGGTCGGTTGTGGTTATTGCAGCTTCGCACGTAAGTGAAGTGGTCGATGCATTCTGTCACTTCACTCCCTATCGTTGAACTGTGAGTAGTTGTAGACCAGTCATGAAGCATCATTTTCCGTTTGACGTTAACGAAACGCATGCCAAATGTACTCAGATTTCTGCTCATTGAGTCACAAGATGCCATATTTTATGAGTATCTTTGCTGTCAGAAATGGAAAGTTAAATATAATTCACAGTTTTGAGATATGCTTTAAATTGAACGTGCCGACTGTCAGAATGCAATTCAATGACGCGAATGCAACCATCCACTCTTACAAGCATGAATATTTTAGTTTTTAAGCTGAGAATACCCATAGAATCAATGTTTTGAAATGTCTCAAAAGAGGATAGTTATAAGATTGTCATTATCTCACAAAAAGAATACTTGTAATATTAAATATACAATTCAACTAGAAACAGTTTGAAGAAATTCCAGCCGCAGCGCAAGCAACAAATATCTCTTTATCAGAAATTTAACAGTAGTAAGTAAGCAATTGAAGCTATATATCTATTCAGCAATAAAGAAATAAATCTGATAACGATAGGAATCACTGGCTAAGAATTTCAGCCACAATCTCAATGAAGCTATCAAGAGACTTCCGGTGTCTAAAATATCTGCTGGTAACTCTACTTAATAGGCACTTAAACATTAAACTGTTTGGCTGTGAATCACATTTATTATGTTAAGGATAACAATACTAGTTGACTGTTGAAACATTGTGATAGGCGGAACTGGGAGTAGAACGCATTATCTAGTAGGTGGTGCTATATTTAATTAAAGACTACAGCTATGTTTATAAATGCATGCGTGAACTTCTCAATAAACTACAAGGACACATACAGATGCGCACCACTGCAGACATTTTGAATAAGATGAATCATAACGGGACAACGATAACAATAAGCTGTCAATTATTAAACTAAGCATAATAAAAGAAGCCAATTTTTAATTGGATCACTAATTAAATCCAACAGAGGAAGATGTGTAGGTAAAAAGCATAAAGTTTAGATGGGTATTTAATCAAGAAGAGAATTTTATGAATACAAAGATTCAGTAAGTGGGACATTTCATCTATCAATGAACAGAAATAGAATAATTAAAAAAACAGATGTTAAATCCGATGCCTGATAAATAACGAAGATATTAATACGCAGTATAAGAGGCTATGGCAGAAGTGAAAACAATAGGGATACACATTTTTGAAAAACATTTAACCATCACAACCACAAAATTCACAAATTTATCACTTAAATGGTGAAGAAAGAATAGAAAACGGCAATGCATAATCGTACTGAGGTTTGTGGGGATTTATTTATTGATTTCCGAGTGGTACTCACCATGAACTGATATCAGTTGGAGAAACCTTGATAACGTGGGAGCACTAGACAGACGTTTTTTTCCAGTATGAGGCTCCTAAGCAGTGCGTACTGCAAAGGTCCTGGGTTCGATCTTGGGCGGGATCATAGGTGTTCGTTGCTGATGAGTCCCATACTAGGACGAAACAGCTATTCAGTGCCCCCAGATTTCGATTGTTTTTTCAACTGATGGCAGTCCATGGTGAATATCACCGTGAAAACACTTATGTCTGAGGAAAGATATGTATATATATATCGTCGGAAATTCCGCAGAAGCCATAGAAACAGAAAAGATAATGAGCTTGAAAACTTTGAAACGAGAGACCTAAGACATTTTGAAGATTTTCAGATCAACTCCTGTAATTTATTTTAGAGAATTATTTAATCAAATGCTAAAGTGTTAAATCAAAAGTAAACTTTCAAAGTACGCTGATTGGCTGTGGAGGTTTTCAGCGATTTGGAACTTCCCAAACGTAACAGTTGTATAAAAAGCATAAAAATAAAACGAGTGAATATGCATAAAGAATTAATAACAAGCATGCATCAGCTGTCTTCGATAGTGAATAACACGAGTGTTGTCTAAAAATGCACCCAATAATACTGAAATCCTGAGCACTGACAACTTAGTTTGTCCGAATTAACGGCTATGAATACAGAAATATATCAATAACAAACATTTTTTCTGACTAGATTAAAACCACCTTGCTTGTTTCTATTATCTACTTATCCAAAACAATTGGATGAAAATCTGAAAGGCTAGTAGGCAATACAAAAAGTAAAAATATGAAAAAGTTGTTGCGTTACACATAAAAAAGGTCCAGTTAAGGATAATTTTGGAATAAAACGGAAAGGAGGAAAGCGATGAATTTCTCTTCTTCAAATACTGATCTACAACTTTCTTTCCCATTTTATATCAAACCAAAGATTGTAAAAAGTAATAACAGTAATAGTAATAATAAAGTAACAGAGTAATAACTTTGCTTCCTGTAATAAAATGAATTTACGGGAAAAGACAACTTCTTTACGAAAAGCAGTAGGTAATAAAAATAGATGATTACGTACAGCTGTGATATGATTGGATGAAGTGATTCCTACCACTGTCTATTCGTCTTTAACATTGGCAATATTAATTTATACTACTTGTAAACAAAAATAGATTGATTCTCAGAAAGATATTATCAGCTTAAGAGAAATAATCTTTCAGCTCTAATATCAATTAAAATAATCACAAAGCAAAAGATGCAAATAGCAATGTCTACTTGACTTACTTGTCCTCCATAACCAGAGTCAGGATCATAGGCTTTTAGAGTAAGGATTCGATGACCAATTGGAACATTTTCAGGTATATGTACAGAATATTCATGTAATGAAAATGCTGGTTGAACATCATTTACATCCTATACAAATGGAATAATAAAAATATTGATCAAAATAAAACAAGCAAAAAAAAACAACACTGTTATTCTGCATAAATATAAAGCTTCGAAATATCCCATGAAATGTATCTACATAGGGGTTATTTAACAATAAAGAAGACGGCCGAACAACATAGGTAATATTTGCACGAATACATAAAAACTGATAGAATAAATTTATAACAAAAAAGTCATTTTTTTTTAAACGACAATCACTTTAATACAGTATAGAATTCTCAGTGTGATATTTCAACAAATTTACTTCTTGTACAATATTTCCAAGTCAACTGATAAGTTAAATAATGCTAACAGTATGCTAAGCAACAATATACAACGACCTGTTGTTTTCAGGTCATCGTCTAGTTTGCGAGTAAATTGTTGCACAGCACCTGTAGGTTTGGTGGTGGAGGATCATCTAATCAGCATAAAAATTTGCAGTTCCCGCTAGCTATTACTGTAATATTTATGTGATAAACTGTTATACGCCCAATGGCCCACTCTCATTTACTGTGACATTTTTTTTTTGTAATTTTATTGTTGACTTGTATGACGACAAGTTGGAGACATTTTAAGAATGCATGAGAGTACGTTTTGTGATTTGTTGGCAACTGAATCATTAAAATAGGTACAAAAGAAGTAATTTGACGAAGTGTATACGATAGGAACTTTTTGGTAGTTCAAAATACCCTAAGTAAGTTTGTTGTAGATTATTGATTATCCACCAATCACGTTCATAATTTTATGAATGAATGACAATCGTTGTCCTTCCAGATACCGTGTAGAATTTTCAGTATATAATGTTGCAACAAACCAAATTACCTTACTTCCTATACGAATGAATCAATATGACAATATAATGCTTATATTTTAACATATATTATCAAATTTTATCAATAGGAAGGTACACGAAAATATGTTCACGGAGCTAATGCTAATACTCTTTCAACTGACTATTGTTTTTGTTCACCGTTATTAACCCCTAGGTCGAGTTGCCTCAACATACATATGTCGACGTTCTTCAGTGTGGAACATATTCTAATCGAGGTTGAAATAAGTGGAAATTGATGTGGAACAACGGTAATGTGCCTTTTATCTTTATCGAATTTAGTTTTATCTAAGATATACACATGAGTATGATCCAAAGCAAACGTTACATATCATAGACATAGTCATAAAAATGATGCGAGAAAGTTGAAAATTTTCAAATAAAAAACTTTCTGTTGAAAAATACTTCTTGAAGAACTAATTATTTAGTGAATAGTGGGCGTATAAGTCAATAGGAAAAGTATACTGTACCATGTTACTTACAGTTATGTTGATTAAAAGATTTACGCGAGCTGCGAACTTGTCTGTGTATCAATAACTTCCAAGAGAAGTAGGTAGTGTGATGAAGATTCATAATCAAGACGATCACTTACTCGAATAACACCTGGAATGTAAACATACACTATACAATATGGCGTGAAAATGAACAAAAACAAATTACAGGGAAAGAATCACGACTTTTAAAAATGGAAATCAAGCGTTATTCTGTAGTCGACAGTCGAGTTATCAACACATCTGGCATTTATAGCAGTTCCAGCCGACTGAATACATCAGCGAAACCAGGAAAGGTTAAATGTAGAGCATATTTTAAAAGTTGAAAGCAATTACGTATAACTAGTTCCAACAATTGGCATGATCGTGGGTAGTATTTTCCCTCGAAATACTACCAAGACTAAGTGATGTGTAAATACTAATCGCAAATATATTCATGATTAGTTGAAAATAACTTTGATGTTTGATGACGAGGTGTGCCATTCCACAAGTCATTATTGTCCATCCGACTTAGAGTTATAACCCCTGATTAGACAGATAAACCATTAAAACGAATTAAACTGTTATTTGTATTACACCGTCGTCCATTGGACCGAATTGATCGGTTTGCATTGGGAAGAGGGCCAAAGCGAGGATGCCTGAATATCGCTAGTGTTTCCATAGGACGAAACCCATGTCCTAGATTGCACTCCAGGACATAATCCATCATTAATATAGAATTGAAACACAAGCAATATCGAGGCATTCACGCAGAAGCTCATATGCCAATATAGATCGATAAGTTCGATCCGATCAACGACGGGACAATAAAAGTAACAACATAAAAACTATACCCGTCGTACAATAAGTGGCTATTGTGACTCGGTAGTCTAGGAGTTAACGCTTTGGCATTTGAAGTGATTGGTCCTGGATTCGGGTCTTAGTGGGAACAACAACGCTGACTGGTAGGTAGATACATTCGGTTGACAAGTCCCAAATAAGACGAAACGCATGTCCTCAATTTTATTGCTGGCCGTTATCCATTATTAATAAACAATTAAAACAAATGCAAAAAAGCCAGCAGAGTATACCAAAACGTCATGATCATCAACTTCAATATACCATTGAAACCTCTTGAAAATTGACAGGGATAAGACAAATAAGAATCAATCTTAGAATATGCATCTAATCAATAAGGAAAATAGATTACGGTCTTCCAAAACAATTAAAAACAAACTAGCTCAAGTCTCCTGATGCTCACTGAGACTATAACCATCAAACGCCTGAGACCTGATTTATACGCCCAAAAGAGAACCATTACCAATCTCTTTATCTTGGTAATTTACACGTCAACTTTCATTCTTACTTTGTTAGATCATTCCCTCATAAACACCACATGTTCATATTAACCAACTGATTTGAACTCGTTATATTTTACATTGTGTTTTTCTTAACATATACACCTGTTAACTTACATATTCTGACATCCTACGATCTATAGTGGTTTCTTCGATCCTTGTCAACTTTTGAGAAGTTTTAATCGTATAACGTATACAATCATGGCACTGTGGTATGCTTTATAACCTTCTTCGGATGTTTTAGCAGCATTTTTTTACTACACCATATCAGTTCTCGTTTGTGCTAATTACTCCCTTAATGTCAATTCTTGTCAATGTAAGCATGTTAAAACTATCATAACTATTTGATTTCTCGACAACTAAGATTGTAAGCAGCTCGAAAGAAGTCAACAAATGCATGAAATGGATCCCTTTTGTTCGGTCAAAATAGTTGTCTCTGTTCTTTGCAAATACTAACTAGTTAATTTCAAGATAATTCTAACTACAGGCAGACATCAGCCGGAGAACTAATGGAAATAGAAGGAAACTAGACGACTGTTATACATTCGTTCGGAGTTCATCTATTATATATATTCTCAAGGTTTGAAAGTTCAACGGCTAAAATTTCGTGTATGTAATTGAGTATGCATTTCTCGGAATAGTCATGAATAGAAGGAAATAAAAGTTAACTAAACTTTGGTTTCAAGCATTTTTCAAAATGATGTCAGTACTTCATGAATGCTGTCTCAAAAACACTTACTGAATCTCCCTACTGCAAAAACCATATCTAGGTGAATGAGAAGGGTAGATTAAAAGCTCAATGTTAAGAAACGCTACGGTGTCTACACTTAAACCTTTTTCATATACAAAAAAACACGTATATTTCAGTTTACTTAAGTTAGTATAGACGAATAATAATAAAGATGATAACAGCAAATATAACAACAATGACTAACTCAAAAGGATACAAATATAATAAATGAATAAAACACTCTTAGAAAAACAAAATCAGTTTACACGATGTACATAAAAAACAGAAGGAAGTCGAGTGAATTAGGAAGTGAAATGAAGAAGCAGAAAATAAAAAAAAAGCTGATCGAAGATAATGGTAGTAACCGGAGGAAGTAAAGTAAGACAAGCAGAATGAGTATCTAATTTTTTTTCAAAACAACAACAAGAAACAAGCCTACTTGACCCATAAAATTGTTTAGGCATAAACAAGTCATTCTATAATCCATATAACAGACAGAATAGATAAAAGATGACATACCAATATGTGTAAAAACGTTGAAACAGTATGCATATATTTCTTAAAAACCATTCATTTTTGCGAAAGGATCAATTAAGAGTTTTTATCCATCTGTGCCTTTCTCCACCTCAGTTGCTACAACAACGTGAGATAGTTTTGTATTAAGTAAGATTAAGTGAGAGAAACAGTCACGCCGAAAAAAAAACGAGGATAAATTAACTGCCAACGTAGAGTACTATATACGACATATCATAGATATAGTAATCACAACAGCAGGATAATAAATGTTTACAAAATTAAAAAACAAAACCGGACAACAGGATAGAAAACATTAAATTTTGTCTTCTTTTCAAAAAGATAGCATGTACACTTCTCTTCTAAAAAATAAACAAGTCCAAACGACAGAATTTCATTACCAACTGTAGCAGTAATAACAACTGTACTAGGATCAAAGAGAACAATAGTGGTAGTAATAGTAGTAGAAAGAGGGTGAGGTGGAGTGGAAAAAAGAAAATGTGAGATATTCTTAGTAGGTAAGTAAACAACTTTTGATGGAAACGTACTAAACATTATTCATGCTTATGTGAAAGGCTTAAATAGAGGAATAGAAGAAAGACAAAGTGGTTGCATTTTGACTGTCTTAGTCAACTATACAATAACATGTATACACAACAGATAGACAAAGAAAATTTTCACTTGAAATGTAAATGACACTGTACACACAGTAAATATAACAACACAACTGGCAAACAAGAAGAGAGTAAAGAAACCAATAGAATAAAATTGTATTCCAGTCCTGTAAAATTCACTTACATGTACCGTTGTTGTTATGATAAACTAAGAATTTCCAGAAAAAATAGTAAAACAACAAGAATGAGCAGCATAAATGACAAATATGAATAATTACTGGGAAATGAACAGAGATATAGGAAAGAGTTATACAGTGAACAAAAAAAACTGAATAGAAAGTAAGCTATTAATATGCACCTTAACGGCAACAAGCTTTCCTGATGACATAATGCAGAGATTATCTGACAAAACTGCTCAACAGACAGCTTAGAATATCGAAGAGAGATTAATATTTGCAACTAAAATAGAGAGGGTTAAAGTAGCTACAAATTGAATGACCACTTAAGTACCTTTAAAACGATATACAGAACATCTCATTATCTTGCTTATATTGTGTATTTGGTGTATACGCTTCTAATTGGTTAAACAACGGCAAGCTTTACTGGTAAACCTTTCGGACAATCTATGGCAGTTTAGTAAGACATTTTATGTCAGAATTTGTTGCTCATGAATTCACTACCACTTGACTATATCACCTATTCACTTCAAATACTCAACCCTTAGTTTTTGTAGTCGGTGCAATAAAGTTTAATTTAAACAGAAGGTTCTGACGATCGAAGAAATGCAAACATAACAATGCATATTAGCGCAATGCAACCATTAACACGCCTCTAATCAGTTGCAAAATGTATTGCGACAAACCTAGTCGACACACCATTGACCTCATCAACATTTTCACATGCCGTGTCTAAACCCAGTGGTTAAATTTGACATACCCATCTCAATAATCCTAGGATCTCTGAGCAGTCCTATCAAAACAATAACGAACTGCTTACAGTTTGATTCATTCCTCTCCATTGGTTAAGCATCCGAAGTGTAGTGCAAAATGGTCCCACTGACGAGCTGCATGCCTAAACGGTGATGCGCAGAGTTATGTATGTTAGTTGATTGGAGGCGATCAACAGGACACCCAGGGACAAATATTTCATGCTTTCTGGCACTCGTCAGCAAGGTGTACATGAAATCTCGGGAGAAATGATGTCCACTGAGAGATTCGAACTCACTAGAGGGTAACAAATTTCATGTTATTCAGTCCCGAGGTTTGACTGAATACCACAAAACATTTTGCAGTGTGATCATTCAGACAGGAGATTTACTGCGGCGAATCACTTTGACGTAAGTTGGTTGAAAGCAGTCAACAGGAAGCCCAAGAACTAGAATTTTGCGTATACGCTAGGTCAATTTAAGCCTTCGATCACTGAATTTCAGTTGAACACTAATATTTCAATCAATGTCTAGTATACGGTTCCAACAATCAATTCTGCCGACGGTGAGCAATGATAAGAATGTTATAGTACTTCCATTCCTAGCAGAAAACCATTAAACATGTGGTTACAACTTAGAGGTGGTGTACCCATCTAGATATTAATTCATAGAGCACGCCGATCCATTCAAAGGATTCTTAATGAAAGAGAACAATAAATTATGTCTTCCATCTTAGACACTGAAGGTCGAAAACCTCATCAACCAACTTGTTTTTTTGGCATAGTACCCTTCCCCTAACATCAGTATGGCTCACACGGTGATTTAACGATGCATGGACAATGCTGCGAAGAAACCTACGGTCAAAAACCCGGAAACCCCTTCATTTCCTGTTTTTTCAACGGCCATGTTTCACGTCCATATACAACGATAGATAGTACTGCAGCGCAGTATACTCGTCCTTTATTAGACAGTTGAGATCTCACCGGTGACAGC